CAACGTCATTGATACTGGTATATACAAAATAGACATTATTGATTTTAAATTTTTTTAGAATTAGAAATTAATTTAATTATGTGGCCAATGGTCATAACTGTCATATCAGATATCACTGTTATGGAGACAGTAGTGATCACAGTATTACGAATACATATTTACTACATAATTTTAATAAACATTAAACTTGAGGACATGACTTTACAATGCTCTGTAAACTTAAAGGGTGGTAGATTTTAAAGTTAATTTGTAAATGAAAAAATATTAGGTTAAAAAAGTAATTTCATATATGATCAAAACAGTCATTGGTAATTTTGAATGTGATGCAACTTGTACTCGTTTTTTATGGAAATAGAAAATCTTTAAATATACTAAGTAGTAAGTACTTATAAAGTTTAAAAAAAGTTCTAAAATCATACCAGTAGTCCAGTAGACCAGTACTTACCCAAAAAACATCATTCGTGGCATACCATCTTGAAGGTACTTCACATACATTATTTCGTTTTCCACGGTGCTTCTGTCAGTGCTGCCATCTATGAGCACACTGATGTAGCGGGAGTTCCTTATTGCTCCATCTCCCATGCTTCGGATCTCTGTGGCAAGAAACCCTGTGAAAACTTGGGCCTGCACAGGATTCATGTACGAGTCACCAAGTTCCACCCCGTGCCTTTTTTCCAATTTAATCAGAGAAGTGAAGTACGCAAAAGGCAGCTCGTGCTTCGCGAGGTGGTAAGATATGTCGAACAGTTTCACCATCTTGGAATGGACCTGTTCGTCCATCTTTAAGATGGCTTTTACGATGGGTTCTTTGGATATTGTGTCCTCCTTCCATGCTTCTGTATCATGAATATAATAAAAAAAATCACTTGTCTGAATTGTCTCCCTCTAGTCTAGTAGTAGTAGTAGCTTACTGGTAACTTGACACTTCTTAGGTCATTAAGTAAACCGTGAAAGAAAAAAAATCATAGGCCTACCGCAATCGCATGCAATGAATTATACTTTTGTAGGATAAGCTTTCAGCTATCCTTTCATTAGTAGACTAATTTGAACCGATTTCTTTCTTCATAACAAACTTCTGAAGTTCTGAGTTACATGTATGTATGGACTATGGAAGTAGAATCTAAATGTGTACCAAACACTAGATCTACAATTAATATTTAATAATCACAACTTGAACTTAGGTGAACTTAGTTACCATATGCAGCTTTGTGAGATACACTCTGGCTGTGCCTCATTGCCGAGTGCTTTTTTATATGCGCACTGCCCACCACGAACGGGTCACTGGTGACTGCGCCTCGTAAGCTTCCCGGTAGTGAAACAGTGCGGCATGCCTTGCAGAACACCTGCAGACCGCCACTGCCACGATTCACCCCCAACCAGTCGAGGTTCCAGGAGCGAATCGTAGCTTCATTCTGCACGGGTTTTCGTTTTTTCTTGGCTGGAGGAATTGGTCGGGAAGCCGTGCCCGCTGTCAAAGCACTCGTAGTAGTAGTGGAAGACGACGCAGAGGACGATTCAATGGATCCACGGTCTTCAGACGTGTGTCGCTTCACAAGAAAGCGCTCCATGTTCGAATCGTGTTCAATTCATCGATTGCCTGAGCTACGACCATGCGTGTATTCAGTCTAGAACACTGGCGTCTCTCGGTTGCTATGGTCGATGTCATCGTCATTTGTGTATTGTGCAAAAAGTGGTGCCCAAACAGTTTCTGTTTTGTTTTGTGCTAGCTATATAGTATATAGAAGATATAATATAGGAAAAATAAATATTTAGGTGTATTATGTTTAAACAAATTATAAATAAAACTGCGAAATGCTATTTGTGGTTTTTTTTATTTCTGTCAACAAAAATGTTTGCGACATCCCAGGGGTCGAAATTAGCGGTATCCCGATATCCGCGGGATACCAGATTCTTGTGCGGGATACCAGATTTCAATGCTTGGTATACCGCCGGGATAGTAAAAAAAAAATCGTCATAATCGGGATAGTGGTTGTTGAGTTATCAACTTTATACGGCAGCGCATCTGAGCGAGTGCGAGAGCGCGAGCGCGCGCCCTTAGTTACTAATTTACTATGTCACGCGCTAGCGTTTTTATACAGCAGGCATAGCATATTTGCAAGCGCAAGCGTGGCCGATGTTGATCATAATTGTGAACATGTGTATACATTGTATCATGATTGTATCAAGCGAGCCAGACAATGCGTCTAGAGTCTCTAGACAATACGTCTGCAGTGTACTGCAGTGTGTGTACAGCTGTATGTACGTAATTTTGTACATTTCAATTTATCAGGCCACCGGAGCGTTTTTATCTCGGGCGATCGCTCCCGTCATTGTTCTTACCAGAGCGATTTTAGAGCTTACCAGAGCGAAATCGCTCGTCGCTCCCGTGTATTTTATTCCCTGGTCTGTTAGAAAGAAATTGACTGCCGGGTTTGCTAGTAGAATCTATACATGCCTGGATGTATGAGGCTACAATGTCACACTGAAATTTCAAAAGCTAAATTTGGTTAAAGAAGGTTTATGCTCCTTAAATCGTATAATTTCTATGGCATTCTGTACTGTCAGTATGTTACATGTAACGTATGCCACTGCCAGTGGCTGCTGCCAGTGGCTGCTGCCAGTGGCTGCTGCCAGTGG